TACCACCAGGCCAAGGTAAGGCGACATAGTTTTTAAAATATATTATCCGGGGACATTTTATCCCTGGGTACATAAAATAAACCTTTTTTTATATTCACCTGATCCCTGCATCCAGCAAAAGTTTGGCCTCCCATCTCCCACGCTGTTTGAAGCTGCATACAGCGTGTGCTGGTTACTACTTAAACCTGCGCGCTGTGTGCAGCTTCTGAGAAAATACGCTATTAGCGTAGCGGGAGCGATGCAAAATGCGCAGCCGGCTGCCCCCCTACGCTAATGGCGTATCTTCTCAGAAGCTGCACACAGCCCGCCGGTTTAAGTAGTAACCAGCATGCGCTGTATGCAGCTTCTAACAGCATGGGAGACGGGAGGCTGCGCTTGTTGGTGGATCCGGGGATCAGGTGAGTATTAAAAAGAAAAAAATTGGTTTATTTTATGTTCCCAGGGACCTAATTTGTCAGGAGACGGTCTCCTCAATCCGGGGACTGTCCCCAGAAATCGGGGATGAATGTAGGGCTGCAACAACTAATCGACTAAGTTGATTATAATCGATGATTGAAAATGCTGCCAGACCCGCTAGCCCGCATCCACACACGACACCTCATACCTCATGCTTGCCGCTGCCAGACCTGCCCGCCAGCATCCACGCTCCACACGTCGCACCTCCTCTGTGCCTCACGCGCATCCCCACATCCACAATCAGCACAGGGACGTGGGGAGAAGATGTAAGGAGGAGCAGGCGTGAGGGGATGACAGCCGCCGATAGACAGTCCCGATCTCAGAAACAAGTTGCTGGAAGACTGCTCAGGTAAGCCTGGAGTCCCCCCCCCCCCATATTGCTTGGAATTGTAGTTCTCTATAGCCAATGCCATTCTGCAATGCTGTACAATGTATTTCTGAGTTAGTGGCAGAACTAACAGTGGTGCAGCAGTCATGCACGTGCACAACCCTGGCAAGGCATCCCTCCACTACCAGTGTGCTTTAAATTTCCTAAACCGATAGAAACATTCACACTACTGTTACACGGATGGCAAAAGTGGCAGACAGGGGCGGGGAAGAGGGAGAGCGGGAGGGGGCCAACTTGCTGCACCATGGGCCTCTGGGTTGTACTTGCCCCCTAGGCTAAAAGTTGCCAGTCAGCATCTGCCTTGACATTTTGCATGGCAACTGGAATAAGGTGAATGAGACACCCACGTGACTATAAATGCTGAAGTTTGTTGCCTGACATTCATTAGAACTGAAAGAAGCTACTTGTATAACCAGTGAAACTTCTTCAGCATTACAGAACAAGTTAAGTTGAATGTGACTAACACTACTAGCTTCTCTTTCTTGTTTTGTGTTTTTTTCTTAAGCTTTAACTTTGCATTTTTTATTTGGAATGTGGGGCTGGGAAATAAGCAGATCTTGCTGTCAGGACCAGCTGTGGACGCAGGCTGTCAAAACAAATAGTGACGAGTTGTTTCACCTATAGCAGCCGCCGTTCCCATAAGGCAAGCACGCCTACCGGTACTTGAATGCCCCCAGGACTTAAACTACCGTATTTGCCGGAGCAAATTTATACTTAAAAACATCCCCCGAAAATCGGGAGTTGTCCTATACGCCGGGTATCTAATCTGTCAGCCCGCTGGATGTGCGCTAATACTGTATGTACGGTAGCTTCGGCTACATACAGTATACCGCGCTGAGCCAATCACGGCGAGCGATGTACACAACCTCTGCCAATCCAAGCAAGCTTTGTAGTCATTAATAAAATATGTCGCTGGCCGTGATTGGCTCAGCACGGTATACTGTATGTAGCCGAAGCTACCGTATATACAGTATTACCGCACATCCATCGGGCTGACAGATTAGTGGGAGGTCACTAGATGAGAAGATACTTTGGGGTGCACAGGAGTCACAGGACACAACGGGGTGCACTGGGGTCACTAGAGAACACTATGCCGTTGAGTGCACAGGAGTCACAGGGTGCATAGGGGTGCCCTGGGGCAACTAGGTGACATAGGATGCTCTGGGGTGCACTGGAGTCACTAGATGACACAGGATGCTGTGGGGTGGTCTAAAATCATGGGGTGCACTGGGGTCATTAGCACGGTATACTGTATGTAGCCGAAGCTACGGTACAAACAGTATTACCACACATCCAGCGGGCTGACAAATGTGTATTTAAACATTATTTTGGGCTATACTCGTTTTATACAACGAGTATAGCCCAAAACCTATGTTTTAACTGAAAAATTAGGGGGTCGTCTTATACGCCCAGTCGCCTTATACGCCGGCAAATGGGTTATATGTTCCTAACCGGTGAAGCCACAGGCTGGCCAGATGTGCTAAACCAAGGTATGGACTGAGGTAGAAAGACACTACCAGAGAGCAATCAGGATCAAGCTGGAGTCAAAGGCTGGTGGCTGGAAAGGGTAATCCAGGGACAGGCCAAGGTCAGAACCGAAGACAAACGAGATTTGCAGACACAGGATTTGCAGGGACAGCACAAATCTTGTATAGCAAGAACTACCACAAGCACTGGGGAACAGGCTGATGATGCTTAAATAGGGCACCACCAGCAACAAGGCCAATCCCAGAGCTGGAGGTATGTGGTTTGATTAAGTAAGTTACAGCTTAGTGCTGCAGCCAGCGAGACACAGAATGATTAACCCTCGCCAGTCAGGGCTGCAGCCAGCAATACACTACACACCGTCTATCGGACAACATTTCATTTCTTCACCAACCTAATTAGATCACACCTACAAAACCCTACTCTATTTCCCTATTCTACCCCCCTTATATTGCTCTCACTATTTCCCCATTACCCCATTTGTTAAGTCCTGGGACACATGGAAGACCATAGAAAAAGGAGGTGGTCACATGCTAATTTTGTAATTACATAAAAAAAAATTAATAAAATATGTCGCTGGCCGTGATTGGCTCAGCACGGTATACTGTATGTAGCCGAAGCTACCGTATATACAGTATTACCGCACATCCATCGGGCTGACAGATTAGTGGGAGGTCACTAGATGAGAAGATACTTTGGGGTGCACAGGAGTCACAGGACACAACGGGGTGCACTGGGGTCACTAGAGAACACTATGCCGTTGAGTGCACAGGAGTCACAGGGTGCATAGGGGTGCCCTGGGGCAACTAGGTGACATAGGATGCTCTGGGGTGCACTGGAGTCACTAGATGACACAGGATGCTGTGGGGTGGTCTAAAATCATGGGGTGCACTGGGGTCATTAGCACGGTATACTGTATGTAGCCGAAGCTACGGTACAAACAGTATTACCACACATCCAGCGGGCTGACAAATGTGTATTTAAACATTATTTTGGGCTATACTCGTTTTATACAACGAGTATAGCCCAAAACCTATGTTTTAACTGAAAAATTAGGGGGTCGTCTTATACGCCCAGTCGCCTTATACGCCGGCAAATGGGTTATATGTTCCTAACCGGTGAAGCCACAGGCTGGCCAGATGTGCTAAACCAAGGTATGGACTGAGGTAGAAAGACACTACCAGAGAGCAATCAGGATCAAGCTGGAGTCAAAGGCTGGTGGCTGGAAAGGGTAATCCAGGGACAGGCCAAGGTCAGAACCGAAGACAAACGAGATTTGCAGACACAGGATTTGCAGGGACAGCACAAATCTTGTATAGCAAGAACTACCACAAGCACTGGGGAACAGGCTGATGATGCTTAAATAGGGCACCACCAGCAACAAGGCCAATCCCAGAGCTGGAGGTATGTGGTTTGATTAAGTAAGTTACAGCTTAGTGCTGCAGCCAGCGAGACACAGAATGATTAACCCTCGCCAGTCAGGGCTGCAGCCAGCAATACACTACACACCGTCTATCGGACAACATTTCATTTCTTCACCAACCTAATTAGATCACACCTACAAAACCCTACTCTATTTCCCTATTCTACCCCCCTTATATTGCTCTCACTATTTCCCCATTACCCCATTTGTTAAGTCCTGGGACACATGGAAGACCATAGAAAAAGGAGGTGGTCACATGCTAATTTTGTAATTACATAAAAAAAAATTTATTTTTTTATAATTTTGTAATTACATTATTTTTTTACAATACAACACACATTTTTATTTGCAATGTTTACAACAATGTTTCACTTACTTGAGCAACATATAACTTTAATAACACAGAATCTAAACATCTAGGTTATGCATGTTATTGAGTATATTTTGACTTATACCCAGGCGTCTTCAATATCAATTTATTGTTCATTTTGTCTTATGTACCGTGCATATATTTGTATGTTATTTTTGTAACTAAAAAATATATGTATATAAAGAATCTATAAAAAAATAAAGTACAGCTCTGATACAGGCACTAAAAAAATGCTAAAACATAAACATATCTTGAAAGAAATTGGCTGCTATTGTTGCCCTGTCAAAATGCCAGCTGGCTGGCTGTCATGCTAACCATATGGCTTTAATATTATATTAGTAATCATCTGACTGTTGTTGCAAAATGTCTTTAATGGATATATGCGGTTAAGCAAAAAAAAATCCCATAATTCCTCACTCCCACCCTCATTATCAGATTCCTTAAAATGAATACAAACCACACTAAACCCTACATTGTTTGCATCATATGATGCATCATTTTTCTAGCCTTTGAGAATAATAGCTGTCCCAGGCACATGTCTCAAGCTATAGACGGGTATATTCACTATTCTTCTTAGCAGGGCCTGGAACATTTGCGGCAATAATGGAGACTTTGGAAATTTTGCAGCTGAGGTAGGTTGGGCAATGACAGGATGGATTTGTTTGCATCTGAGGTCTCTAATTATATTGTAGATACTGAGGGGTGTTTTTCTTTTTGTGAAATTGGACTTATCCTAGTAATAGTAGTTTACAGATTTTAAACATGTATGTGGGCATGGAGCTCAGGCAACAAAACTAAAAGAATTACAGATTTATTTATTTTTTAAAAAGCAATGTTACTTTTCTGAACAACGCAGTTGTATAGCTTGGATGATATAGCCACCCACAGGTTGGATGTCACCATTATAACCGTTTTAATTGAAGGTAATTTTTTTACATTTTTATTTCAGCCATAAATGGAATTATCTACAATCTCCAAGGACTTCAAATGTACCAGGATGAATTAGTGCGATGGCATTTGTTGAACATGGGAAATACAAAAGATATACATGTGATTAATTTTCATGGTCAGACTGTCACTGAAAGTATAACAAATGAACATCGACTTGCAGTTTATCCTCTAATACCAGGTATATAAAATCTTATTTTTTATCTAATTGTTTTTGGTTGACATGCATGTTTTTAAACAATTACTTAAAGCTGAGCTCTAGGTAGATATTGAAGATACAAATTAATGCAGCTCTATAATCATTAAAGCTCTGTTCACATCTATGTGATGTGGGAGCCATAGCACTTCACATGTTGCAATGTTAGATGTGCTAGTGTGCCATTATTTCTTAATGGCCCTCCAATGCACCTAGCCATCACAAGCGCATTGTAATGCACTACATCACATGGTAATCTATTACTAGGGCGGCACCAAAATTTAGCCCGCTAAAACATTTTTGCTGAAATTGGTACTTGGGGCAAAATGCAGAAAGTACTATAATGGCTGAAAATGCAGCCGAAAATTCAGTGCATCTCTAGGCTTCTCTCCTCCCTGCTGGGAGCCGGTCTGTGTCCCGTCCGAACCCCGCTGCTCTCCACTGCCCGTGTCGGCAGAGGCAGCAGGGATCAGAGGGGACAGAGACCAACAGAGAGGAAAGAAGGTTTCAGGAGGCGGGGCAGGGGGCGGAGTCGGAGCTGAGCTCTCCTCCCGCTTGGCTCCTGTGCCAGGCAGAAAGTCAGGATGCAGAGCGGTGTGGGGAGAAGTAAGCGGTCAGCTGTAAAGGGGGCTTAGCTCTCCTCCCGCACCACCCCACTCAGCCTCCTGTGACAGCGAGTCAGGATGGAGAGCGGAGTACAAACACCCATTGATCAGCTGATCACTGAGTGCTTGTAAATAACTGATGGCAAAGCATGCTTACTGAGTGTTCTACATCACTTCCTGTTAATTCATGATTTTGGACGTAGTAACTCATACTATATGCACAGTTTATGGATGGAGAGGAGCGCTCAATGTAGAGGCTTCTTGTTTATTCATAACAGGGGCTGCAGTATAAGAGATTGTGTCCTCTCTTTTTCTAATTTAACAAGGAAATGTCAGGGGTCTGTTTAGACCCCTGATATTTCCCCAAAGCCCCGACAGTAAAGTCAAACAAATAAATAAATAATAACAATAATAACATTTTTTTTTTTTTTCCAAGTTGGTTTCAGTCTAACAATTCAATTTCAGTCCATCTCTATGGGATGTGATGTGAGGCAATTTTATAAAAAGATGCACACGGTTCTTTCAATGCAATTTTGCTGAAGGGGTCTAAAATGCAACATCACAGAGGTGCTGCAGTGTGCGTTGCAGTAGACAGCCCATTATTTGAAATGGGATGTGGTAGGCATCCCATTCAAATTAATGGGCTGTCTACTGCAGCACACCCTGCAGCACCTCTGTGATGTTGCATTTTAGACCCCTTCCCTGATCTAAATGATCCCACCCTCATCCCCCACAGCTGTATTCTTACCATGATCAAAGGCCACTGCTCCATTTTTTGTTGAAATCCAGCTCTGTAAGTCTTCCTCTCCTAGACACAACTGACGCTAAGCTGGCCTCATAGAAGTCTATGCGACTGCAATGTGCAAGTGTGGCCAGCAGAGGGAGCACTGTGGTGCTGGCATATAAACAACAGATAAACAGTGCCCGTCGAATCTCAGTACAATTTTGCAGAGGGGGAGGGTGGGAACGTTTAGGTCAGGTATGGTGGACTAAAAGGACTGAATAGTTTTTTTAAATGCAAGCAGTGTAAGTAGCTGAATTTGATATCAGCCTCTTGCACTGCCTGTACAGCAGGGCTGGAGTGTTAGAGGGAGAAGCAGTACAAGGAGCCAATCAGTCCATACACTGACAATAAGCATGCTAATAGGAGAATGCAGAGTGACAGTGAGATGAGCTCATCAGTCTGCTGCCTCACTTTTCACTGTTCAGTAACAGGCTGAGGTAAGTGGCTTGAATGATGATGCATCTAGCAGCAGAAAAATCTCCAATCACTGTGGGGGGAAATCTCTGGATTGAAGGTGAATACTGTAGCAAAAGCTAGTTTTTTATTATATATTTTGATGAGTTATTAATTTGTATCCATACAGGTGCTGTATTGATGTATTTATTTGATAAATTTATTAGGAACCAATGATTCTAAGAACCAGTGCTGGTTGTTCTCCACACAGAGTTTAAAGTTTTCTTTTGGATAGAGTAGGCAATATGTTTTGCCACCCGTGTCCCTTTGGGGAGATTTCCTGCCCTGTAGACTTAAAAGGAAGTAAGAGGAAATCTTTCTTGTACAGTCATTACTGCAAAAAGTGTCACCATTCGAAGGCTTCCCCTCCGTTCCTTTTCCAGTAATAACTAATAACTTTGACATTACTTAAGGACGATTTCTTAAGGGACCGTAATATACAGGGGTACGGGTACTCCTAGAATGAGATCCTAATAGGTTGGACTTGATGGACTAATGTCTTTATTCAACCTCAAATACTATGTAACTATATGTAAATTACAAAGGGTGAATCTTCCCAGTAGGGTCACAGACAGGAAAAAAAAAAACAAAGGTTCTATTTCCTCCTTCTATCTAAAACAAAATGTGTTGTGTGCTCATAATACCCTGACCCATTGACTTATCCTGATTTGTGAACACATCAGTATAAAAGTCAATTGCAATACAGCAAATCGTTTTTTCTAACTATAATCACATTTACTTTTGTATAAAATAAACGTTGTATGCCTTTTTATGTTTTATTTGGTGGTCATGTGACCACACAGCTGCAATTCACACCCCACTTCTCCATACTGGGGTGGGGGCCGTTGTATTGACCTCATACACAGCAGAGAGGTATGTTCCCTGTCTGTATACAAGCATTGGTGGGATCCGCTGTCAATCAATACAGCAAGGCTGGGCTGGGGGGCATGGAGGCTTAGCTAACTACAGGAGATATAGATACATCATGCCATCAGCATGGTGTCCTGTAACTGTAAGCAGGAAGCATAGATAACGCAAAGTGACCATTCTAGCATGGACCTGCTTACATACTTGCCGTGGTCAGGTTGAAACAGGAAAGACGGGGAACTGGCTGGATCAGCAGGTATTTCAAAGCAAATGAGGAAATAAAAAAGAACAGACTAGACTGACCAACACCTACATGAAAACAATGAAGCATTAATGTAATGTCAATTTTGGGGGTAACATACATTTTAACACCCTAAGTGGTGATGGTTTATTACTGTTAGATCATGTATAAATCTGACTGTAGAAAGTTATTAAAATATTCACTCTTAGTGAACTCTGTTTAAAGGTTCATTTGCAACAGTTGAAATGCGTCCTTCAAAACCTGGTCTTTGGCAACTTGATACTGAAGTAGCAGAATATCAGCAAGCAGGAATGCAAGCAATATTCAACATTGCAGATGCAGGTAAGGATACATATGGGGTGGGGATCATTAAGTGATTATTTTTTCTGTATGAACCAGTCAAAATATTTGAATTATTATGGGGCCAATTGAAGGTAAAGTACAATCTTTTCCCATTTGCTGCTCATACTTAATGAAAGGAAAAATCTAGTTGTGAAGGGTTTTTTAGCATCTTTGGCCTTGGCACTGGCTTTAACTTTTGTACATACATTTTTTTTTTTTTTCCAGATTGTAACTTTCCTCTTGGCCTGGCAAACGGACTGATATCTGATGATCAGATCTCTGCATCACATTACATAGGTAAGTCAATTCTTTAAAGCTGGCCATGAAGTGTTTTTGTAATGTAAAAAGATTTCTCATGTATGTAAAGCTCACACTTATATTTAGTTTTGGATACATTTTATATTGCTGTCATTATCCCCACTTGGGATATTAATCCTCTTTATTTGTCCTGGTGACCATTGTCTCTGGTGCAGAAAGTAATGGGAATCCAAAATGTTGGAAAGCAGGTTTCCAGTAGTGGAAAACCTCTTCTGGTGACAACTGTCTAAGACGGCAGACCAGGGGTTGAGGCAGGTGACAGATAGAAGTGTGATCAGACAAGTTAGGGGTCAAGGCAGGTGGCAGACAGAAGCAAGACAGAATCTAATGTACAGGCCAAGGTTTGAATCCAGTAAGTAAATACAAATGCAATAGTCAGACTGACACAAACAAACTGAACCTGTTAATCAGGCACTGGGTAGAAGTTTAGAGTTCCCTACATAGTTAATGAATGAGACTCAGGCCCTTGCTGCAGTGCACAATAGCAACCGCCAGATGGTTAATACTCCCCTTGGCTCTGGCAGCCTAAGGATCACTGCCGTCATCACGTCTTATGCAGGTCCATTGACCTGGACCTGCATAAGGGACAGGATGCCAAGGGACATTCCACCAAAGCAGAGGGGGAGAGAGAAGAGCGCAGACCACCATGGAAACAAGGAGTAACTACTCATGACAAAACAAGAACGACAGTGGAAGAACTCAGTACTGCTCTACTCAGTATTACATGCATTTTTTTACCATTTGATTCTATAGATTATTGGGAGCCAAAATTTGCCAGATTGAACAATGTAGGTTCCTACAATGCTTGGAGTGCACATATGAATAAATCTTCACTGCCATGGATACAGGTATGTGTTTTCAACACCTTTTAGAATGTTATTTGCTTCTACACCTTACCAGCTAAAGCATTTTTTGTAAATATATGCTGTGTGCATTATACAGTTCCACAGGTAGCCACCGCACTATTGTAGGGTACAGCAGTGACGTCACTAGGGGGGTGTGGCCCGCAACCGGGTGACACCATTGGAGGGGTGACACTAAAATGACTGACATTCAGTTTGGTGTCACCCCCTCTGAAAAATCAGGCACTCGGTCATGGACCGAGAGCCGACAGTTGCCGCCGGCAGGTTTAACCAAGATGGGCGTGCATGCGCATGACATAATCGAGCGTGTGCGTCATGACGTTGTACGCATGCGCAATGATGTCACAGAGGAGTGTCATCCAGTACCCAGTCCGGGTGACACCGGGCCCCGGGACGCACCTGAAGTACAGTAAATGCCTGGATGCTCATCCACAAAAATATCCATACAAATCCAGGGTCTTGCAGAGAGCATTTTATTTTCAATGTTTCAATGGAGCTCAGTCCATCAGTCTCAAGACTGCGTGCATTATACTTATGCAGTTTTCCTCAAGTGACCTTGTAGTCAAAGTAAAATTATGGCTCAAAGAAAAAAAGTGACATGCATGATTAATTTTAATAATTATTTTAATAATTGTAATTGTTAATATTAATAACAGCCTTCATTGTTTATCTCCTCCCCACTTAATATAGCTTTTCTAGGTTTCAATACCACCAGTAGACATGTAGCTTCAGATGGACTTTAAAGTGGACTTTCCATGAAAATGGAAGGTCTGCTTAAAGCTGGCCATACACCTTACAATTATCTGCAGATTTTCTGTGGTCAGATGGAAAAGGTGCAACAGATTCCTCCATCTACGCTAACCTGTGTGGATGGAGTAATCTCCACCTGGGCCAATCTGTTGCACTTTTTCCATCTGACCATAGAAAATCTGCAGATAATTGTAAGGTGTATGGGCACCTTTACTCACAGACAATACATTTTGAACGAAAAAAAACACCCAGCTTCTGATGCTTCTAGGAGGTGCAGGTGACATGACTGTGCCTCACCACTATGTCCAGAGAGAGCTGGGTGCTCAGAATCTCAGAAGAGTGCACTTCATTCCATTTGTGAGGTAGGGGACCATGAGCAAAAGGGATTTTCCATTTTCACGGAAGGACTGTTTTAAATAAGCAACAAACAAATTAATATTCAGCTCCAGTCAAAACCTTTTTCAACAGTTACAGTTTTTGGAAAAAGGGTTAAGACTAGGGGTCTCAAACTCAAATGAAATGAAAAAGAGCTTACAAAAGGAGGAAAATGAATGCTGCCACCTCATCTAAGGACTGGTAGGCTGCAACATAAAGTTTATGTCTTTAAATAATCTTTAATTTTTAGGTTTAAATTTAACAACCAAGATTGGGCCACAGCTATCTTGTCAACAGTTTAAAGTGTGACTTTACTTTATTCAATAAATGTTCCTTGGAAAAACATTGGTTTTCATTTTATATTTAGGTGGATTTACAAAAAACACATTTAATCTCTGGAATAAAAACACAAGGCGCTAGTAAATATTTCAGCCAGTATTACATCACCGAGTTCTTTGTCTTGTACAGCAAAGATAAGAGAAAGTGGACAGCTTTCAAAGGAAACAGCTCTACATTACATAAGGTATGCATTTATTGCTTTTCTAATATTATTTACTATAGGCTATACACAACAGGGATATTAACACGGAATACAAAATTTTTAAGAAAGTAATTTAGCAACTTAATACATTTCTGATTGAAAATGTTCTTTATTATACCACCTTTATAACAGAGAGAGCCTTAATGATTTCCATGTTGAATGCTATTACTATATCCTTTGTATTGTCATGCATTTAGCTATGACTCTTTTGATAGTCATTGCCCACAATTTAATTTGCTAGAACGATGCTAAATTTGGGTAGAGTGGGAATTACTTTGAGGGCAGCAACACAAAGGTGAGTCCACTGCAAAATATCCATTGGTTTATTCCATAACAATAAACACAATAATATAGTGCATAATATAATCTTTGCCCACAGGGGATACAAATTTTTGCCTCCTGGCCAGCAGTTCCAAGTATATA